GTCCACGTAACGAGCAGGTTTACATTTCTTGTGTGATGAGAAATCCGGAGATCTGAGTTCTGGGCTGTTACTGTGGCTCCATGGTTTTCGCTTAAGCTTCCTTGGAATGGCTCCTAGCTATGCCCATTCCTGTACCCCTTCCTAAAGTGAGGACAAGACTTGTACAGCCAGCCTAGGGACTCGGCATAGTGCTTCTGCAGGCTGCGTCACGGGGCTGTTAGCCCTAAGGAGGCTGGGAAATGGAGACGTTGAGCTCCGTGCATAGGTGGCTGCAGTGCCTCTCTGATGCTTCTCATGGCCTGGAGGGCTCTGGCCTTCCTAAAGGAAGGTGTGCAGAACATACCTTCTGCAAAGCCTACAGTGGTAACGGAGGTTTGGGAGTGTTGGGTTCACTACAAGAGTTCCTTTTATTGTTTGCCCTCAAAAGGCAATTTATGTGTATGAGGAGTGTACTTCTTCATCTGAAGTCTTGACTGTTGCATTGCGTTTCTCGTCTGAGCCTTTTTGTGGTATATTCAGTGTGTTTGAATGCGCAAAAATGGGAGTTGGCTATTGCCTGATGGGCTTAGCTGTGGCCGTGTGTGTGTGTGTGTGTGTGTGTGTGTGTGTGTGTGTGTGTGTGTGTAACAGGAGTGAAGGAAGGCTGGTCAGTGGAGGGAGGCCTGCCTTCTCTCCTATGGGGTTTTAAGCATTCTCCCTCCTCCCCTAAGCCAGCGCCTTTGCAGCATGCTACAGCCACAAGCAGGGTGTGTTTTTGTTGTTGTTTATTTGGTCCGTATGATTTCTTTTGTTTGCTCCATTCGTAGATGGATTATTTGTGTTCGTTAAGTTCAACTGCAACAAAACTATAGAAATTAGACTAAATAATCTAGAAAATATTTTCTACATCATTCTGTGGATTTTCGAATTTTTAAACTAAAAATATTACAGAATAAGCAAATATTGTGTGATTTAACAAAACAAACTTCCTGGGAAGGGGTGTAAAGAACACAGAATGTTTTATAAAAAATATAAGTGGATCGTTAACATATTTGGAGACCTCTGCGAGTTATATTAATTAGTGCTTATTTTATTTCTTGAATCTAATGTCTGCCATAATATTAGGCATTTTTCTCCCCATTTCAAATGATTTGTCACGAACTTAACGAGCGGATTTTCTTGAATACGCTTCCAAGAAGGCAATCACACTGCTTCACTCTCCTGCTCCCTCCCCTTGGCTGCTGTGGCCACTGGAGAGAGCGCCCGTGGATGGAGGGTCTCTCTCTCCTTCTCCCTGTCTCCCCTCCTTATAATTCTTTCAAATGTAAAACTGAAAGGAAAAAGGAAATTGAGTTCAGATTGGAAATTCGTGTATTTTGTTCTGTCAGTAAGAACATGGGGTAATAAAAACTTGTAAAATGTGAGGGATTGTCAGGAAGTATATATTATTGAAAACGCTATGAGCGGATTTCAAAATATTTTTATTTTTTATCGGAAAGTTAGATTTACTTTATTGGAAAGTCTTGTTGATTCACTCCTCAAGTGGCCACAGTGGCTGGGTCTGAGCCAGTGAAGCCAGGAGCCAGGAGCCTCTTCTAGGCCTCCCACGCGGGTGCAGGGTCCCAAGGCTTTGGGCCGTCCTGGACTGCTTTGCCAGGCCACAAGCAGGGAGCTGGATGGGAAACAGATCCCAGCATTGTGTAAGGCGAGGGACTTTAGCTGCTAGGCTACCATGTAGGGTCCTGTTTTTGTTGTTGTGCTGTTGTTTTATTTTTCGTTTACTATCTTATTTTTTATTAGGAATTCAGAGATTTACAGAGAGGAGGAGAGACAGAGAGAAAGATCTTCTTTCCACTGATTCATGCCCCAAATGACTGCAATGGCTGGAGCTGAGCCGATGTGAAGCCAGGAGCCAGGAGATTCTTCTGGGTCTCCCAGGACTTAAATATATTTTGTAACAAAAATAAAATTACCTTTTAATATTATTTTTCGTGAGATTTTAAAAAAAAATATTTACAGGGCCCGGCGCGGTGGCGCAAGTGGTTAAACGTCCTCGCCTTGCACGCCCGGGATCCCATATGGGCGCCGGTTCTAATCCCGGCAGCTCCACTTCCCTTCCAGCTCCCTGCCTGTGGCCCGGGAAAGCAGTCGAGGACGGCCCAAAGCTTTGGGACCCTGCACCCGCGTGGGAGACCCGGAAGAGGCTCCTGGCTTCGGATTGGCATAGTATCGGCCCGTTGCGCTCACTTGGGGAGTGAATCATCGGACAGAAGATCTTCCTCTCTGTCTCTCCTCTCTGTATATCCGCCTTTCCAATGAAAAAATAATAAAAAATAAATCTTTAAAAAAAAATTTAAAAAAAAATTTACAATTATCAAAACAACCAAAAGAAAATAGGAACAAAAACAGACAGAAATAATGAAATATAAAATGATAAAAGATTTTGACAAAATCAACTGCTTTTTTAAAAAAATATTTATTTACTTTTATTGGAAAAGCAGATTTTAGCGAAAGGAGAGACAATGAGAAATCTCCCGTCTTCTACTTTACTCCCCAAATGGCCTCAACAGCTAGAGCTGAACCAATCAGAATCTAGGAACCAGCAGCCTCTTCTGGGTCTTCCACGCGGGTGCAGGGTCCCAAGGACTTGACCGTCCTCCACTGTTTTCCCAGGCCACAAGCAGGGAGCTGGATGGGAAGTGGAGCTGCCGAGGCTCTAACAAGAGCTCCTGAGGGATGCTGGTGCTGCAGCCAGAGGCTTAGCCATCACAGCTCAGTGCAGGGCTCAGCAGCTGCTTCTGAGAAGACTAACACAAGAAAGATTTGAAAATATGAAAAACTAGGGGCCCGGCACCTTGGCCTAGTGGCTAAAGTTCTCGCCTTGAACACGCCGGGATCCCATATGGGCACTGGTTCTAATCCCAGCAGTTCCTCTTCCCAAAGCCTTGGGATCCTGTACCCACGTGGGAGACCTGGAAAGAGGTTCCTGGCTCCTGGCTTCGGATCGGCGCAGCACCGGCCATTGCAGCTACTTGGGGAGTGAATCATCAGATGGAAGATCTTCCTCTCTGTCTCTCCTCTTCTATGTATATCTGCCTTTACAATAAAAATAAATAAATCTTTTTAAAAAAAACATGAAAAACTAAAACCCAAATTGTGTGTTTTGGTTTTATGTTACAATTCTGGCTTTAAGGCATCGTATTTATACCACCCCCAAATTTAAAACTTATTTTTAATAATTATTTATTTTACTTCAAAGAGTTACAAAGGGAAAGCAGAAACAGAAGGGATGGCGGGAAGAAAGGAAAGAAAAATAGAGAGGGAGAGAGAGAGAGAGAGAGAGAGAGAGAGAAGGAAAGAAACAGAATACCTTCCATCTGCTGGTTTGCTGCCCGTGGCCTCAGCAGCCGTCTGAGCCAGGTCACAGCCAGGAGCTTGCAGCTTCTTCCGGCTCTCTAACATTGGAGGCAGGGTTGAACAGTCGGGCCGACTTGTACGCTTTCCTAGGCCAGAAGCAGGGAGCAGGATTGGAAATTGAGTAGCAAGGATATGAAATAGGAACTGGCATTGCATGGTGCGGTTTCACTTGCTATGCTGTAACATCAGCCCTACTTACAAATTAAACACACACACACACACACACACACACACATTTTATCTGACACACAGACACACACACACACACACACACACAGAGGCAGACAGAGCGTGCCTGTCTGCTGATCTATTCCCTGAATGTCCTGGGTGTCGGAGACTGCTGGAGCCAGGACTGGGAGCGCGGGCCAGGTCTCAGGGGAGGCAGAGACTCAGCCACCGGAACCTGCGGCCTCCCAGGAGCTGCTTTAGCAGGGAGCTGGAATCACGATTAGAGCTGAAACTCGAACCAGACGCTCCAAAGTGGGATGCAGCTCTTGCATCCGCTTCTAGTGCCTGCCTCTGCGTCCTAACTTTTAAAATGTTTTTTTTTTTTTTTTCATATGGTACCATGGTCAGAAACTCAGTTTTTACTGATAAAGCATATTTTTAAAACTTGGTACTTATTGCTACTTAAATTCTTAGAATACGCTTCATTTAGAAGAGAAAATCTAGGGACCGGTGTGGTAGACTAGTGGCTAAATTCCTTGCCTTGCCTGCATCGGGATCCCATATGGGTGCCGATTTGTATCCCAGCTGTTCCACCTCCCATCCAGCTCCCTGCTTGTGGCCTGGGAAAGCAGCTGAGGACGGCCCAAAGCCTTGGGAACCCTGCACCTGCATGGGAGACCAGGAAGAAGCTCCTGACTTTGGATCAGCTCAGCTCTGGCCACGGCAGTCACTTGGGGAGTGAGCCAACAGAAGGAAGATACTTCTGTCTCCTTCTCTCTCTAAGTCTGCCTTTTCAAGAAAAGTAAATCTTTAGAAAAAAAGAGACAGGCGAATGATGCCAGGTGCTTGGTTGGTTAGTTTGGTTGCTTACGAAGGGCGTTCGTAGAGATTTCCTGTCACTCTGGAGTATGGAGAAGCTTCCAGACCTTAAAACAAGCCTCAAACTGCCACCTTCTGCTGCTGTTATGGTTTCAGAAATAGGTTTTGCTTTCAAAGTATAGTAACAGTTATGTGGTATGAAGGGAAAGAAACAAGGAAGAATTTTAAGGTAGAAACTCTAAAACTGGGGCGAGATGAAAGCTTTAGTTAGAATTTGAGTGTGACGTGACTACCTTTAGTGTCTCCATTGCATTCTGCTACATAAAATATTGCATGTTTGCTTATAGGTGTTGGAAAGAGCCTATCAATAGTAAATGAACAGATCATACCCACAGATTTTGATGTCAGAAGGTCCTTGCTTGGGCCAGGGGCTGCCACCTGTTAGTCCCATCTAGCACCTCCCGTGCAAAAGGTCGAGTGATTTCCATCGCTGTGAAGGCTCAGCGAGGCAGTGTGGACCCTGTGATGAGTTTTGTGGAGTACTGAGGTGTTTGTGTGATTGTTATACTCTGGCAAGTTAAGTGAGCAATATTAAAATGTATTTTTATTATTTTAAGGAAATTCGAAATGAGTCCCATGACTATCCTCATAGAGTGGCCAAGTTTCCCGAAAACAGAAATCGGAACAGATACAGAGATGTGAGCCCATGTAAGTACTGGTGAGCGCGTGTGCACGGGTGCGTCTGTGTCCTGGTTCCAAGGGTGCAGGGCACAGTGAGGAGGGCTGAGAGTCAGGCTTGTTAAGTAACGTAGTTTTGTTTGTCTGTAGAATCTTAAAATGAATTTTCAAAGCATGGCAGAAGGGAAAAATTATTCTTAGGAAACTTTTATTTTTTTATTTTTCAAATTTTCCAGCAATAGTAGAGAAGAAAGTTATAGCCCATTGTTATTTTATCTGTCATATTTAACCGCCTTTATTTTGGTTATTGCCTTCCACCCTGCTTTTTCTTTTCTCTGTAATGTGTACTTTTTCTCCTTGGAATTGTAATCATATACGAGCATTTACATATGTTCTATGTATATTACTTGTCATAGTCCTTCATCGTTAGAAATGCTTAAAGACTTACTGATGTAATTTGATTCCCTGCTACCTATTGACGCAACAATAGTGCGGGCTAATTCTAGCAGACATAAAACATAAAAGATTTAAGGGAAAGAAAACCTCATGATTTAAAAGCAAGTAACTTTTGGGTTTATATTCTTTTCTTTCTTTTATTTTTAAAAATTTATTTATTTATTTATTTATTGGAAAGTCAGATATACAGAGAGGACGAGGGACAGAGAGGAAGATCTTGCATTTGCTGATTCATTCCTCAAGTGGCTGCAACAGCCAGAGCTGAACTGACCTGAAGCCAGGAGCCAGGAGCTTCTTCTGGGTTTTTCACGTGGGTGTAGAGTCCCAGGGCTTTGGGCTGTCCTCGATTGCTTTCCCAGACCACAAGCAGGGAGCTGGATGGGAAGTGGGGTTGCTGGGATTAGAACTGGTGGCCCATATGGGATCCTGGCACAAGCAAAGCGAGGACTGTAACCACTGTGCTACTGCACTAGGCCCCGTTCTTTTCATTTTAAAAGATTCATCTATCTGAAGGGCAGAAGGCCAGAGCTAGATCGCTTATCTACTAGTTCACTCCTGAAATGCCCACAGCCAGCGGAGAGGGCTGAGCTGGAGTAACCCAGAGCCCGGCGCTCAGTTCAGGTCTCCCTGGGGTGGCAAGTCCCCAGGTACCTCAGCCTTCATCTGCTTCCCTGGGTGAGCATCAGCAGGGTCCTGAAGTGAGATGTGGAGATGGGAACTGAGCTCAGGCACTCTGACACGGCATGTGGCCATGGCAGGGGGGTGGGGGCGTTTTCATTGCTAGGCCTAGCATCTACCGAGGGATTTATATTCTTCTGGTATTTTTTTCTGAGAAAAAAAATCAGTCAATATACATACATATACATATGCACACATATGTCTCCATGCTTTGCAATTCAGTATTAGTACATCACTACTAATTTGTAGCTCTTAGCAATACATGGGAAACATTTTTTTATCTTAAATGCTTTTAGAGTCTTTGGCAGTGGTTTTGGGTATTACTTTTTTTGTTTTTTAAGATTTATTTCTTATTGGAAAGGCAGATATACAGGGAGGAGGAGAGACAGAGAGGAAGATCTTCCCTCCAATGATTCAGTCCCCAAGTGCAACAGCTGTAGCTGAGCCAATCTGAAGCCAGGAGCCAGGAGCCTCTTTCAGGTCTCCCATATGAGTGCAGGTTCCCAAGACTTTGAGCCATCCTCGACTGCTTTCCCAGGCCAGAAGCAGGGAGCTGGATGGGAAGCTGGAGCTGCCAGGATTAGAACTGGTACCCATATGGGATCCCGGCGTGTTCAAGGCGAGGACTTTAACTGCTATGCTAATGCACTGGGTCCCTTGGATGTTACTTTATTCCTTTTTTTTTTTTTTTACATAATGGTTATCTATGTTTTGACATTTCGATTGTACTACAGAGTTTTGTAAGCAGTTATAATACTGGGGTTTGGAATGTGCTCATCGTAACGCAGTTCTGTTGTGTGTTCTGGATGATACAAGTCATTTCAGCCATAGCTGGGCTCCAGTTCCAGTCCAGTATGGTTCCCCATGTTTGGTTTCAGTGGCTTAACATACTTTCTGTTTAATACTGCTTATTACTAGGGAATTTACAGTAGAAACCAAATTGATCACCTTCAGCCTTCTGCTTGTTTCTAGTCTTCCTCCAGTTGACCAGGACATGGTGATGGTGCCGAGGTCTCCTGGACGGGCTCAGTAAATCATACAAGAGCGTAGACTGCACAACTTTTATACATTGCATTGCTGGACTACAGATGTTTAAAGTCTGAATATATCACTAAAAGTCCATTCTCTTAATCCAGTGTTAACAGTGTGTTTCTTTATGTTGACCAACTACATTTACATGATGGCTGTATTGGCTGATATTCAAATTAAATGAGAAGCGTTCTCTTCAAGTATTTCAGGTTAGGGCTGGCATTGTGGCATCTATGACACCTGCATTTTATATCAGTGCCAGTTTTGAGTCCCAGCTAGCTGCTCTACTTCCAATCCAGCTTCCTGCTAATGCTCGTGGGAAAGTAGTAAAAGGTGGCTTATGTGCTTGCACCCAGCCACTCACATGGGAAAGCCAGATGAGGTTCTAGGATCTCGGCTTAGTCCTGGTCCAGCCCTCCTGGCTATTGTAGCTATTTGGGGAGTGAACCATTTTTCTTTTTGTCTGTCTTAATCTCTCTGTAACTCTGCCTTCCAAAGAAATAGATAGGTAAATAAATCCTTAAAAGTTTTTTCGTATTTATTATATGTTACTTATTTTGTTTCCTGTAGATACTCTTTTCCCTTACCAGTTAGAAGTGCTAATAAAGTGAGACTGGCACCAAAGTGCAGTAGCCTAAGCGCCCATCTCTGGTACTGGCATCCCATATGGGCGCTGGTTGGAGTCCCAGCTGCTCTGCTTCTGATTTTCCTCCCTGCCTGTGGCCTGAAGAGCAGAGGATGGCTCAAGTCCGTGGAACCCTGCTCTCCTGTGGGAGACTGAGAGGAAACTCCTGGCTTCAGAGTGGCCCAGCTCCAGCCACTGTGGCCCTTTGGGGCATGAACCAGTCGGCTAAAGGTCTTTGTCTTTCCTTCCAACTCTGCCTTTCAGAGAAAAATAAGATAAATCTTTTTTTTTGTTAATTCAAAATTTTCAACATTGTGTATGTACTTGAGAGGGATGTGAATCCATGTGGGCTTTGAATACAGTGGCGAGAGTCTGAAGTGTGGAAGAAGGTGGGTAAGATCATTTTGTTTTTCTCCAGTGTCTCAGGAGAGGGAAAGGGTTGAGGAGGACAGGGAACGGTGCTTTGGTGACACCTTCGAGACCCCGATGGGGCGGAGTATTCCCAGGATGCTACAGGAGTGGTTTTGATAGTTCTGAGTTGTCAGCTTCATTGCACCAGGTTGATAAAATCTTTCCAGGCTCTGTTGATTGACCATGCACAGGCCCAGAAACACGCTGCAAAGCTTGGCCAACTGGTCGTGCTTTCTGTCCTCTGGTGAGGCACTTGATGTCCACTGCTGGTCTGGATGAGTTGACTGTTAAGTGCCCCATGTGCATCTGGGCATGTTGGCCACTGCTTGGGCATCAGCAGCTGAGGAGGCCCAGTCCTGGTACGTGCACTCCAAGGTTGGATCACATTTCTGTGGTTTTACCTGAAGTCCAATCATCCAGTTGGGGCGTCACCCAGGAAACCTCATCTGGGGTGACCTCAGATTTGGCCTTTGTGAGCACCAGTTAGTGCCAGATCAGGTTTGGTCTGTCTTACGTATCAGCCAGCCCACATCCTGATGGATGCAGCTGCCTGGTACATAAGGAAATATCCCCAGCTTCATCTCCCACGCGCACGAGTAGATGCTGTGGGCCCCAGGTGAACTGCTGGATGCTGCACCCCAACCCAGCCCAGACTCTGCCTGGCTATTGGGTGTGCCAGTGGAGGCGCAGACCCGACTCAAACACATGCCAGTGTGTGCTACAGCCTTGTCTGGCATGTCTGAAGATCTGGCTGTCACATTTACCAGCAGTCTAGTAGGCGAGTACCCCAAGTTCCCCTACCAGCCCCACTTTCAGCCCTGGATCTTGTGCATGTCAGCACGTACGGTGGCCCAGCCTGGCTTGGCCCACCCCGGTCTCGGCTCTTGGTGGGTGCTGTAACTGGGGGCAGACTGACCCCAATCCAGCTCTCACTGGTGAGTACTGTAGCCCGGCCCAGCCTGGCATATCCAAATCCCTCCTCCTGGCTTAAAAAAAAAAAGTTAGTAAGGAAAAGTAGCCAGAGAAGAAGTGCTATGCTTTTTTTCAGTTAGAACATTTGAAGGTGTGACAAGCTTCCTCTGAAACATGTGGTTCCCCCTTGGAGCACTTCTCCTGGGCTGCTTTCAGGGCTGTGAGCAGTAATTCTGACATCCGGATGTTGTCTCACCCTCTCCAGTTTTCTGGTGAAATCATGTGGCTGTAGGAACATTCTTCTGGTGTTAACATGGATTTTAAAGAGAGTGTTTGCCAGTTGCATTCCTTGTTTGGTTTTTTAAAACCCTGGATAAAAATTCTTTGTATTTTGGTTTTTGTGGACTTGATTCCTGTAGAGTTGCATGTAGTTTAAGACATAGAAGAGGGGCTAGCATTTGTTGTAACAGGTTAAGCTGCCACCTGCAATGTTAGCATCCCCTATGGGTGCCAGTTTGAATCCCAGCTGCCGCACTTCTGATTCAGCTCCCTGGTAACACACCTGGGAAGCAGCTGGGATAGGCCAAGTCCTTGAGCCCCTCTACCCATGTGGGAGACCTAGATGAAGCTCCTGGGTTTGATCTGGTCCAGCCCTGCCTGCTGTGGCCATTTGGGGACTAAGCCAGGTGAATTCTTTTCCATCTCTCCCCCCCTCACTATAATTCTGCCTTTAAAATATATGAAGCAATATTAGAAAAACAAAACCAAACAAAACCAGATGTAGAGGGTCAGTGTTTTATTTCCAGTGGGTTAAGCTACCACTCACAATGCTGGAATCCCATATCAGAGTGTCAGTTTGAGTACTGACTGCTCCGGTTCTCATCTCGCTCTCGCCCTGAGAAGGCCACGGAAGATGGCC